ACCAACATGTGCTGGCAATTTTCCGACTAATTTAAATTAAATAATTTTAATTTGCGACGACTACTGTACCATATTTTACTATATTGACAATGTTTTAAAGTGTTACGATTGCAGCAGTTATGCGTGGGACTCTCACCATCTTCCACCCACTCAGCTATGAAACTCTGCATAATATCAAGATGTTGAGAAAGGACGATACTCACTGCATCTCTGTCTACAATTGATTTTTGAGTTTTTTCTGCGATACTCTCTCTCGCGCGAAAATTATATGTAATTATCATTTTTATGCTAATATGATGGCTCAAAGTGGAGCCGAAACGTACATTTTTTATTAAATTGTTAAAAAGCGCAATTGAATTCTAGCACTCCTTTTTTATATTGTTATTATTACTAAAATTTATATATGGTCTGAACAAAATTTCTTTTCAAATACTGCTGTTTGTCTTCATATTTTCTTTTATTTCTTGTTATAATTACTTACTATAACTTTGTTTATATTATTTTTATTTAAAAACAAATTATTTCATGACTTTGTAAAATAAGTTTTTTTTGCCAAAAAATAATATAAGCAAAAAAACTTAAAATTGTCTGTACAATACAAAATTGTTATCGTCATGCGAATATAAATATAAATACACAGACAGTACGCAGCACCGAGAAAGGGTCTTTTCTAAGGATAATAAAAATTAATCGCTTTTATATGTACAATGAGGAACTTCTCTATATTGAAGTCGCTTAATTGACGACTTGGCAGAAAGTATCCATGATGTAAGAGTGCCAAGTGCCAACACAGAACACCTGATTCTTACATCATGATCTTATCGTTACGAGCTAAGTAATAACTTTGATAAAATGTCTTTGTTAATAGTTGACTCGATAGTGATTCGAGTACGTCGAGTCGGAAGTGATCGCAGAGAACGATCTGGGAAAAGTACAAGGACGATAATATGAACGAACAGAGAGTCAATTATTGTCACACGCTAAATCTTGGCATGATTGTAGCGCAGTTTCTTTGTCGCGTCTTGTTTGTTGTTATTTTATTTTAATCGCCGCACGTGGCAAATCCGGCAAAGTCCCGTTTACCTCAGCGCGTGCGAGTAATTTTACAGTGTAAATAATGTTAAATAGGAACGAGAGGACGGACTAGAATTTATTTATTTCACACTCTATATTGCAAAGGGACCAACCGACTTTCCACCGATTTCTATCTTAGGTAAATCTTAGGTATCCTGCCCGCCAATCGCCACGAGCTAGCTATTAGTAGTTAAAACTGTACGGTTTCGATCGCGAACACGAAAGTATTCGATCGGGATGTTGAAACGGGAAAGAATGAAGTATCGAAATGTTAAGCAGGACGGAAGAGAACATTATCGGCGGAAGTTATAACGGCGCAGTTATAACGTTTATAAATTGTTGATGCAATTTATTGTCTAGTAAACGTCGACGTTGTTAATGTTCTGTCTTCTGAAACCCGTCTTCCACATTGTCGCCTATCTCTCATCTTCCTCATCCCCGTCCTGACTCCCCATTCATGGTACACCCTTCAGTATAACTTAGCGACTCGAGTGCCTTGTCAAATGGGTCCAAATTGGTCGATTGGGCAGTGATTTCATGTGTTCATAGGCTTAAGAGACATAGGCGTTTAAGATGACGATACGAGTTCGCTTAGGAAATGGAGGAACGTTAACGAATTCACGTAGAAGAATTTAAGATTCATTTGAATTAATTCAACTTTTCTTAAGGCTAGTTCAATCGTTGTAATTAGTAGCTTTCTTTCATCTAATTTTATCTTTGTTTGGCGCAGGACGTCATTTTTTTTCTTTTCTAGGTAGGCATTATTATTACCTAAGGTGCCTTGAAGAAGGGCCTCGACCTCTTTTTTGCTCCTTGATTGCATAAAATCATCTCGAAGATATTCGAAGATATTTGGAAGTGGTTGAGCAAGGAGAAGAAATAAGACACTTTCAAATTGGTCGATTATTAACGCGTTTGGAAGTTTATTCTGTTTAAAGAATATACATTCCGCAAAAACGAAGTAAAAGAGTCTATTTTAATGACAGTGACAATTGATCGAGTAATCATAACTGTGAAAAGATAAATTGAATATATGTATATTGTACAGAGAAATTACTAAATTAGAATATGATATAGACGCTCTGAATGAATGTAGCTTCGATCTTGTAGATTCGCTCACATACCAAAGACGTTCTGATAAAAGTTGTAAAATATTAGTTAAATATATATAAATGCAATATAATTTAGTTTTTAAATCAACGTACGACATTTCGAACTGCGCGTAAGTAAACGGCATTGTACTTGAAGGATATTTTACAATTTTAATATATACTTGATTATATATATATATATATATA